AACAGCATTTAAAATACGTTGCATGTAGGAAATGGGACTCATTCATAAATTAAAAAGAACAGTTGGCATGAACTAGGACTAGTAGACCTGTGCTTCTTATGACTTACAGTGGACTTATGTCAAAATCAAATAACTTACAGATAAGTAAATCCTAGAAAATATATTATGAATAAAAAGTTATGAAAACTATATGAAGTTCAAAGAATATACTTACAATCAGTACAATATATATTGCTGTATCATGTAGAAATACTAAAAAGCATTTTTCTATGTTAGAATAAAAAAACTGTATCAAAAGAATTAGCATGTTATTGTAATGTTACAGAGGTTGTAGACATTTCTGCAAGTGTAGCTAATATATCTATATCCAGTAGCTTAATATAGTAATGGAACAGACATTTAGATTATATAGATGATACAGAAGATATCCTGTAATTTTTATGTTATTAATTTCATGTGATATAAGCTTTTTTTATTCACCTTCCCTGTGATTTGATCAAACTTTTCTTTGCATTAGCTCTTCATCTTACTATTGGAAAAAATACCATGAGCCAAAACAGAACTCAATTTGCATTTTTATCCTGTAAAAAAATTCTCAAATAAGATACAACTTGAGACCTGAAAAAACTCAACATATACTGTCATAACAGGATTTTCTTTTTGTGTTCACATGAGTGTTTTTATTGAATTCACTGTGATCTGCACAATAATTAAAGTTAAGCATAAAGCTACACTGGATTCTTAAACATTCTCTACTATGTAAAGTTCTACAGATTATATATGGTTTTGTCAGAGGATATTTATTCACCAATAAATCTCATGCAAAGAATGTCATTGATTTGGAATAAGTATTCATATGTTGCCAAGAGACTACATTTCAGATCTGGCAGATTAGATTTTCTAAGAGATTGTCACAGAAAACCTGTTTGCATTGCAGTTGGACCAGTGCTCTTAGGTTTGCTCACCAGAGCAGTCCAAATAATACTAATTATTCATTATTAGTAACTGCTGCTCTTAACTATAGAAGTGATTTTACTATATCCTTTACGCATGTGCTTGTTTCCAGAGTTCAAGGAAATTTCAAGACATCCTATTTATCATGGTAAAATTAAGTTTTATTGTCTCTAATCTTGCATATAGATCTCTCTGTGGTGAGAGGTTCCTTTTTGTTTTCAACCTTTGGAGAAGAGCAACTACAGGGGATTTAGCTGCAAATTTTTGTTAATATTCTCTGATTTAGTATTCTGATAGACTGTGAAATAACATGCAAGAAATATCTGCTTTGGATTTCCATCAGCTCTATATCCTCCCTTGGAAGTTCCAGTTCTCTTCCTAGTTTTTGTGATGGATTTTTACCTAACAGTCACTCTTTTCTCTCTTTCAAAGCCTAGATAAATGTTTTCCCAATTATGTTCTTAGGAAAAGTTTTCAAGACTCATGAGAAATTGGAAGATACTTTTGTATTGTGAACATTAAATGAGTTGATTTTCCTGCACACTCCCCATGGACTCTTCTACGTTACTTCTACTTTCCTTTTCTATGTTTCCTTCTTCTCCTTGCTCCTGTCCTAATCTGTTACATAATTTTTTCTCAATGTAAAGATACAGAACAGAAGGTTGGTGGAGGCGAGTGCTTAGTATGGTTAGCAAGGTACATACATGGACTAGAGGAATTGGTGAAAGACAGTTCCTTATTTGAGGAGTTGCATTTTCTAAGTTGGATGAATAGGGTCATAGGATTACAAAAATAGCTCTGTGACTTAAAAATATCAGAAGTTTTATAAGCACATTCACTCATTTTTTTGGGTGCCTCTGTGCAACAGTCATTGCTTATTGAAGTGTAAATATAAAATAAAATTTCAAAAATTGTCTCCACCATACTTGGTTTTACATAGTATTTGCATTTGAACTAAACATTGCTACATGAAACACAATGGAGACTCAATGTCTCAAGTCATGCCTTAAGGTTAAATTGATGCATATATGTAGCACTTAATCATTTTCACTAGCTCAGAATCTCACATACCATGAAATTAATTTTTCAGTTTATCCCTCACATCAATGATAACATTATTATTTTCACCAGGATAATGGTTTACACCTTACATATCTATTTTATCTGGATTTACTATGAAATAAATGATCATCTTTTTGCTGTTTGTTTTAAAAGTAAAATCTTGGAATAATTTTTTAAAAATTAGTGTCAGCATAAAAAATCCAAGCCAGTGCAATAGAATATCTTCAGTCATTGACAACTACTCTTAAGCTTTCAATCATCCACCACAGTCTGATTGAAGAGTATGGATTGTTATGATCTCACAGTGGTTTTAATGAGCAAATCATTACATCATGATGAAAACCAATACATTGCTCAAATTTCATGTTGAGTGAGGCTGAATGGCTGTCTCTTGGGAATCAGGGACTCTAAAGAAAAATGAGAGTCCTAGGAGGTAATAGTGAGCATGAACTCCCATTGCCATTTTTAAAAATACAGTCCTCAAATGTATGAACTGGAGGAGTTATATATAAGAGGAGTGGAAAGAATATGTTTTCTTGAACTGGCATAATTTGACTGGTCTTAGAATAATGCATGTAGTTCTAATACACAGAATCCAAATTAAATTAATTTTAAAAGCACCTGAAGACTAATGAGGAGGATTTGAAAGTACATTGTTCTTTGAACAATGTGAGGTTTTCAGAGCACAAATTAGCAGGTAACTCAAGTTTAAATATCCAAGAAAAAGAAATCTTGTAGAGTCATCAGTCTAGCAAAGGAAAGTTGAAAAAATAGCAAAGATAGAAACATACCACATATGATATCTGTAATTTTTAGGTGACTAATTGACCCTTGCCAGTTGGAGTCGGACAATGGCAATGATATTGGCCAACTAATCTAAAAAGGAATTAGAGGGAAATCAGATGCTTGGGGTTAGCTGTGGGCAGGTTCTTTGTTAAAGGAATACAAGAAATATTGGGTCTGTGGGATGCATGAAGAAGTAACGCAGAGAGAGAGTATTTGTTTGAGAGCATGGAAAGTATGAACGGGAAGGTAAATTCTCAACTTCAGTAACACTGTTCACTCAGCTGAAGCAATGGGAAGTGAGTTTACATCATAGAGCTCGGGTTGTCAACAGTATTTTTAAATTAATGCTAAAATGAAGAAATGCAGAAAAGAGATGTAAGCAAGATGTTAAGATTGTTTTTAAGGACCTACCTGAAGCCAGGCAGGAGTGCTATAATAGTGTTCAAACATCAGGCTATAAGGAATTGAAATTCTGAGGCAGAGGAAGAAGACATCCCCACTGGAGACATACACATATAAAGTCATGGCACAGGGAAGATGGGTATTGAAATGAAGGAAGTAACCCAAAGGAAAGGCCCATTCCATGGTGTGCAACAGGAGCATTTAAAGATCATTAGTCTGAAGCAGAAGATATGCAGAGAAGAAAAAATGGCTTTTTGTGTGTAATATACAGAGAATATAGGATTATGTTAGTCCTGTAAAACCCCTTAAATTTTGCTGATTGCAGAGCTGAGAGAAGATTAAGGTATTTGATGTAGGTAGTATGTAAGTTGGTAAAGGAAAATGCAGAAAAGGAAAGATAAATTATGATTTTTTTAATATTTACTTCATATTTTACCAGGAGGATTAAGCATAAGAAAATACATTTTTAGTAAGGTAGTCATGAATTTTTTAAGGAAAATGCTTTCCATTTTAATTGGGGGCATAGGGACAATTTAATTTTAATTATTTTTTTTTAGTCTAAATCTTGATAAAGTACTGAAGCTGAGATAGTTTGTTAAAGGTTTGGCTTCAAAATGGTAAAAATACTTACTTCCCAAAGTATTGTTTGCAATATAAGCTTTGGCAGAAAAAAAACCCTAAACAACTACATTTCCTGTGAAAAAAATGAGGGAGATGCATTATAATAAAAAGTAATTTCAATTAAAAATCTACAGGTGCTGCACTTATTTGAAAACTTTACAATTTCTGTCACCAAAAGACTAAGATATGAAGAAGCCTAAGGGGCAGGACACATAAATTTATGTTGTTGTTTTAGGAAGGCCTATACTGGGGACTGAAACTACAGGTAGTATATCATGATTGACAGTCTCAAGACTTATGTTTTGAGTAGTTAAGGAGAAGATAAAAGCATGTTTTCAATTAACCTAATTTTGATTAGAAGTCATTATATATAGCTTAGTGTGCATTTTATTGCAGCCCACTATCATAGATACTACTGTGTACAGTTCAAAATGTCCTTTTATTTTCTTGAGAATTCCTCCAAGGACTTGAATATTGGATTTTTCTGTGTTTTTTTTATTTCTGTCAGGCATCAGAGAAGGTCAGTTTCATTGTTGTTATTCAGCTACTGCTTTGTGTTGTGACACTCTTATTAAATAGGAGTTAAAAACTTCTTTATATATATAAATATATATTTTCCTATTTACATATACTGAACTGTGTGTCTCTAGACTTGTCTTTACAGTAGCAGCTTTTGTAGTAGACATCGTGTGTACAGTATTCATTTTATATATGTCAGATCCTCAAGGGCCATGGCTTTTGCCAGATGAAGCACTTTTGATTTCGAGGCTGATGAAACATAGTGCTATTATTGATCTGTGCATGACACAGCCAGTCTCTGTGGTGGCAGAGTGTAGCAACATTTATCCAGGAATTTGTGAAATGTCACTCGGATCATGTTCGTAAGGTAAACTGTGCAAAATCCGGGATTCAAGCTGAGAATCCATGAGGAATTGGACGTGACTCTCTTATTCCTTCATCCTATCTTCTAGGTCAGCCAAGTGGTATTTGTTAAAACAATGTCTGTGTTTTGTATTAGGTGTTGAAGAAAGTATGATTATCACTAGGAACACCCTGTACAGTGCAGACATACTGCTGGTTTTCTCAGGCTTTTAAGTGGCTTGGGAGAACAAGATTTTAAGTCAGTGAAAGTGATCTAAAGTGTTGCAAGTGTGTAATTTTTGTTTTCTTTGTAGCAAGTGGACGATTCCTGTACAGCTGCAAGCAGGAAATTCTGCTTAGATTTTCTAAAGGAATTTAATTTTCCTTACTTTATTTTACTTATAGAGATGTGTGGCAATTTGTGTTTGTCAGTAAGATCTCATGAAGTAATAGTGGTCAGAAAGGGTGTGTGACAGTCTCTACGAGTAGAACTGTCGTAATATTGATAATTACATATTTTCTTTCTTTGTAAATATGATTGAGAATGGCTGCACATTTTTGCTATCAAAACATTATCAAAAGCAGATAATTAAAAAAATACTGAGAACCAAGGTATGTAACAAAACCCCAAACTTCCATGTACTATTCCTCTATTTGTCACTTTACCAGACATTTTTATAGATGGTGTTGCAGTTTAAAAATTGCTTTCTGGTATAAAAAAGTCACAAAAAGCTGTAATTATTAATTTACATGTTTTCTTTCCAAAGCAGTTATAACAGTAACAATTTGGAAGTTAGCCATGATGAAAAAAATATATTTAATAAATTTGTTTTCAATTTGAACATTAAAATCTTTTTTACATTCTTCTTGTATTTAATTTAAAAATCAGCTATTAGTTAAAGTAAGAAGAAAGAAGTTTTGTTGAACTGAAGTTCTGAGTGAAGCTATCTTGGGATTTTTTTCCAAAGCTACCAAGCATTTTCTTCTGTTTTTCAAAAATAATTTCTGTTGTTTGAATCCCAAAGGACAAAATCAAGATTTAATTGAAGCAGCACTTGTGAATGACCACAGAAATGTTATCTACTTTTTCAAATGTTTTACAGTATTTGTACGTAAAGAGTAAAACCTAGAGGGGAGAGAGTTGTTGCTGTTGGTCGTGAAAAAATACATGTATATACTAGGCCTTAATTTTTACATGTTATCCCTCCCTTTACAAGATTACTGTATGTGAAATCCACCATAAAGTAAAACTCAGTAAGTTGTGGGTAAAGTCAAAATAGTAGTTGGTTGGTTTTTGGATTGGGTTGTGGTTTTGTGTTTGCTGCAGGTTTTGCTTTGGTTTGTAGGATTTATTTTGTCTTGCAGATATGTGTGTTGATTTTGCAAATTTCCACAGGCTGAACAAATAGTGTGTTTCTTAGGAACACAAAGGTACTTCATAGCATGAGGGCCACCAGCTTGTCAAACTACTGTTCTTCATGGCAGGACCATTGCTAGTGTGTCAGGCATTATTTTTTACAGAGAGTTTCACAGACGAAATTTCCTTTTCTACTCAGCAACGTCAGAGTACTCTGTAATATTGCACCTTGGTTTGGCATAAATCATATGTTGGAAGAAAGGAACAAGAACTTTAATAAATCTTAAACATAACAACAATGAAGAAAGGTTGAAGGTCTGTAGTTAATGAATTCTAAAAACAATAACAGATTAATGGTAAAGACAGAAGTGTAATACTCACCTTTCCATGGATAAAAGACTATTTAAAATTAGTGGTCAGTTTTTTCTTCCATATCCTTTCAAGAGAACGGATTTAATTTTTCAAAAAGGACTACTTATATATAATGCACATTTTCTCTCTGAGGACACTGAGGATGGCTGCCAGGAGCATCTTCTCTGGATTTAAACAAAAATTTTCAGGAATATTTTCCTTATACTATTTGGTACATGTTTTATGTTTAATTTGTTCTTGACATCTTAATGTATTCTTCCTTATTTAGCAATTAATATTTTTGTCCCCATTCTCAAAATGGAAGGCCTTTTTTAAAGATAACTAGCACAGAAAATATACCTTAATAGAGAAGAGTTTGAACTCTAGAAGCTTGAACTTGATCTCAAACTAGAAACCTTGAAAACTCTTACTCCTTGGACTCCCAGGTCCTCTGTTTCCTCCACGCATTTTATTACTCTCTGGTTTCGAGTAAGATTTAAGAGTGACCAGAAGAAGGACCAATAACAGCTCCCACATCTTGTCCTTCAAGAAAAAGAGTTCTTTTGGACTCCTCTAGATTTCAGGAGAGGCATCTTCACCTTCACCAGTTCCACACTGATAGGTCGGAAAAGCAGCAGTTTCCTGTTTGACCTTATTGTGTTACCTGTCACATGGTGAGATTTCTTTGTCTAGATTGTTTTGCATGAAGGGAATTGGTATTTCTGTTAGAGCTTGCATCTTACTCCAGTTTTCTCATTCTCACAGTTCTCTGTTTAAACTTATGTGTTCAAAGTTAATGCTGGTGCTCTGTTGTCCTGGCTACTCCCTTCCACTACAGGAAGAAATTTTGAAACATACCTCGACAGCCAGGAGTACAAGACATTCTTATCAGTTTACCAAGGATTATGCATGAACCTTCTTAAAGTTTTTTTTGTTTGGTTTTGGTTGGGTTTTTTAAATTTGGTTTTTTGGGGGTTTTTGTTGTTTTTGTTGTTGTTTTGGTTGGTTGGTCAGTTTTTTGTTTGGTTGGTTTATTTTGTTTGGGGGGAATTTTTGGTCTTTCTGGGCATAAAGGAATGGGAGTCAAGAGCTAAAACATCTTCTATAAGAGTAGAAAAAGAAAGTGTTACAACAAGAACATTTCTGAGACAAGAAAACTACACCTGAGATTCCTTTTAAAAAATACATATCTACAGCTTTTCCTCTTTGGGATTGTCTTAGTTATTCTCTGTGTTGGACAGAGGGGACATTGTTGCAGAGAATGAGTGCTAGTTCCGAGGATTCTATGGCGTCCCTGCTAAAGTCAGACAATCTTACTGTCCTTGTAACTCGAAGGGAGAATTTTCTAGTTTTGACAAGGTGCTGGTTTGCCTGAAATACCTGAACGTGATGGACTGCTAGAGGAGGTTGAAGAATATTTATCATTTCTTACTAATTTTTTGTGTGGTCTGATTTGCTCTCCTAAGGCTTAATTGGGAATTAATGAGGTAGTCATGGACTTCTCCCATTGCTTGTATAATGCTCAGGTTTACTTTGCATCACTCCATTCTACTTCTGCTGCTTAAAGTGCCATGATTTTCACTTCCTTTCTCAGCAGTGGAAACTATGTGGATAGCCATAGCCACAGCACATCCCACAAGATTCTCAGGCACTGGAAAGCATCTGCTCTTTGGTAGCTGAACTGGGCACAGTCTTCTCTTTATTTTTGGGTTTAAAGGTCTTCCTGTGGTTTTTAGGGTATTGTGTACACAAAATGGGTCATTTTGTCTGTACTCTTACCTTGCTAAAACCAGCAGAAGAGAACAAGGGAACTACTGTGCAGCTGTAGGTCTCATTCAAGATGGAATTAAGAATTGCAATGTTGTCCTCAAACTGTTCATATATGGGAGAATAATCAATTGCCCAAGTGAGTCATAATGTTGATGATAATCGTGATAAAGGAAAGTATATTTCACTTTATACGTTAGACTGAAAACATGGCTTTTTCATGTGATGGTCTCTTCAGATATTAAATAGGCATAAATTGTATATAACTAATATAGTCATGTAAAGAGTATTTTACCCTAAACTGTTCATTTATGCCTGTAATTTTAGCAAGAGTTCTGATGATAATATAAATTACAAATTAAAGATAAGACAGTGGGGGTTCATTTACAAGAATCTAGGGATGAATTACCAATTTAATTTATATGAAGTACATTTTAGTAATAATTTTTAAGTGCAGTTCATTATTTTGAAGAATATTCCTGTCTTTGCATCCCCCCCAACATGTTTGTCATCAGATTTCTCATACCTCTCGGAAGTGGTTAGCAATGTCTTTGTTTACTTTTAAAAAATGTAAATTATGAATAAATATTTGTGTAATATCATCTTTATGTGATTAGAAAAATTTCTTCCAGATACTTAACAGTTTTTTTTACAATTCTTTGTTGTTTATTTCTATGTTTCTCATTCTTTATGAGAACATAGAACTTCTCCATTACCTAAGTTTGTTAATACAATTTATATTTAAAGTGTTTTGCTTTTACACATCTGTCTGCATAAAAACAAATGAGGAGACCTTCTGAGGACATTTTTCTGCTTTTATTGATATCTGAAGTGGCTGCAAATGAGATACTTAAATAATTGAACAAAATTAAGCATAGAGCTATCTTTATACATTTTGTTCCTTGAATATTGCAACCACCTTCTGAGAATGCCTATAACCTACTTACATGTTAGTAATTCTTATTTTGAAATGGCTACATCACTTTCTCAAAGTAGGTTGAAAGAGAATGGTTTTTAACAGTTGAAAATCTGAAATTTGAGCAAAGGAAAATAATATATAAATTTGAGCAAAATAAAATAATATGTAAAATAATACTATATAAAGAGTAATATGGGGGAGGGAAGCTTTCCCTACAAGTACAGATTTCCTGCCCCTTACATTAGAGATGCAGAAATATTTCAGTAGAAAATGGTTCACTCTCTAAAACACATGGAAATGAGGAGAGGTTAAATTAATATTTCACCATTCTTTCAGTTCTTTTGTGGTTTTGTTTTTTTTTTCCTCTTGTATATTCTCTTAAAAATAACTTTCATTTCTAAAGATATAAAGATATGAAGCTATATGCTTTGGAACTAAGTGGGTAAATCAAAAGAAAGTTTAAACACAATCTTTAAAATAGCATTTTCAGTTTGGTTTCTCTCTATTTTATGTGAGTTATACGGAAAACAGATGGAAGCATTATTAATTTTTTCCCCCAATGAGTTTTAGTGCAGCATATTTGTATGTGTTATCTGAAACATATGAATACTTAGTATTGCTGCTGTTAAATTTGTAATGAGTTGTAGGGATTGTGGAATTCCCTGACTGGCTCTCATGCAAGCAGTTCATTTGCAGTGCTTAGATGTGTTAAGATTAAGCAGGGGGAATATGGCAAGCACTATCCCTGACCCTAGATGAAAAATTCAATCTTTATGAGTTTGCCCCAACTCTCATGTTTGGTGGAAATCAGATAAATACTGTCTAGTTCTGAAAAAAAACCCGTGCAGTAAAACCTGGTCCTAACTACAAAAGATCGCATGGATACCATGTCTTATATTGAAAGTTCCCTAGTACGTATAAAGCCATGGAAGCCTT